GTAGTAGATTGAGGAAGGCGGAGGAGTGGTGGCAGTGGCTGGAGCAGTCGGAAAGGTAGTAGCAGCAGGCAGCAGCAGCGGCAGCAGCAGCAGCAGCAGCAGCAGCAGCAATAGTAGTATTTCGAGCTGTAGAAACAGCCAGCGCAGACATCACTCCAGTCACGGTGAGCCCGGATGGGAAAGAGGTAGTTGACTGCAGTGGCAGTTGTATGAATGATTGCCTGTTCGTGCGTTGATTGGTAGAAAATCTGCACATCCTAGGCACCCTAGGTCTTCGGAATTTCTCCTGCCCTCTAAGCCTGAATGATTCATGATTTTCTCCATATGGAATCAGCATGTATTTGAGACTCCCCTAAATGTCATCTCCTGTTTTGGGCTTAGGCGCGGCGTTGTTAAGGTCCTGGAGCAACTTAGTGCCCATACCCCTTTACCCAGGGGCTTTACCTGTGGCAGGCCACCCTATGTGAGTTTTCCGACTCTGTGGTCCAGGGAGCCGCCGGCAACCCGCCCTTTGAAGCCCTTCTTGGGGTTCGTGTCTTGCTTCCTAGACAATATGGGTCCCTTCTTTTCGGGGTCTATCCGCTGCATAATCCTGAAGCTGTTTAAATACACCATGATATGTTTGACCGCAAAAATTGGTAGGCCAAAATTCCCTGATTACCAAGGTATAACGCACTTTGGATCATGCAGGATTCAGGCCATCCAGGAGGAATCTTAATTCGCGTTTGTGGAGCATTCCTGAGTTCAGAAGCTTTGGAATTCTTAGTTTCAAGGCTTGAAGCTCAGCCATTTGGAGCTTAATATGCGTTTTCTTAAGCTTGATGTGAGGGTGAACGCAGTATGCTGAGGCTTACTTCATTTGTTCTTAAATGATGCACAATTGTACATGCTCACACGTCAGAACTCACAGCTGATGCACGGTTGCGATACCCCTAAATCGTGGGTGGTGCCTGACAGGGACGGGCAACAACATTCTTGAGCCCGGCGTTGTGAAGCGAACAAGCAGTTGGTCACGGTGTTCACGTGCACATGCACATTGTGTAACCTGTCTGCTCCCACCGCAAGATGCGCCAAGCATTATGCCAGCTGAAGGTGTTTCTCAGGAAAGAATATGTACATGCGCTTGCCACATGTTCACATGCCCGTGCTATGCACTGGGGGCCTTTGTGTCTGCATGAAGATCATGGTATTATACGTGCAACGGTTTTGATGATGGCTCAGCCCGAGGCACTTTGGCCTTTGCTTTCGCTATGGCTGCAGTTTCGCGAGCTGGTCTGGGAATGTCGGCGATGCCGCTCTGATGTGTTGGCAGTCAGGGCTTTCCGGCTTTCCATGTGTATGTATGTGGCTTCTAAGGTTGAGTTGCGGCTACGCAGCGTGGTTTGCTACCTGGAGTTTGCTCAGCTTTCTGAAGACTGGAAAGGATGAGGACAAGGCCGACGTGTAAAGCACATGTGGGAGGGATGGCCCTCTGTTTCGCACGCGATGACGGCCCGTAAATTCCGTCGTAATTGCAGTCATTCTCACCTTCATTGCTCCTACAACACGATTGGAGACTACTACTGGGTCATACCGATATGCTGTTTGCTCTCGATCATTGTTGCTGCCTTGATTTGTAGGGCTTTGCCTCGAGGCTCAGTGAGCGGATCGGCGCCTTGGCGGCTGCTGAGTTCTTCAGATTCAGCTGCCGCACAGCGATTCTTGAATGAACCTATATCTCTTGATTCTTGGTCGTCAAATAAGTCATCGCAAATGTGCTCTAGATGTTGCCCGTTGGGCGGAGTTGGTATCATATATTCTTCTTAGCAGTTTTGTATGTTGTTTTGTTTCCGTCAATCTTGCGCAGCAGCGCCTCAGGAGCGCGCCAGAGTGCAGAAAAACGTCAATGACCCGGCCATGAGCATGCATCGTAGCCTGATGAATCCGAAGCTGACAAGAAGAGCGCGGCAACCTGCACTGCAAGGGTGTGTTGAAGCAGTTTGCTGCGCAGCGGACAGGCATCACGTGGTACTTCTAGTCTCAAGATGGGTATGTGGAAATGCAACGTGGGTCCCCTTGTTTCCATTCTACTTCGGATGGCATTATTTGGGGTATTTAGGGACCCTGGCTGCAGCACATGCCTAGATGTCCACAGAGCCCGCATAAGCTGGAACCAGAAAGATGAGCCTTTCGCAGCGTCAAGAAAAGAAACGAGCGAAACGCAGGTGCTCGCTAGAAATCTTCAAGGCTTCTAGGCTCAGGCATTGTGACTGAAATCGAAGGGACAGATCCTTCTTCCCACGCAAACCCTGAAAGGAGCTATGTGCATCCAGGAAGCAAATTTGCACGAAGTGCGAGCTACAGCACTGCCTCAAATACTGTCGTCTCCATGCTCCGGCACCTGAAAAGGGGTGCTTAACGATGGGAAACTCTGCATGTTCCAAGCGTAAGCTTGCAGGCAGGTGTTCAGTTCCGCTTGGCTGTCACCGAGCTGCTGGGCGCTCAGTTCCAAATCATCATGCGCAGGACAGGCAAGTGCAGATTTCATGGTAATCACTGGCATGGAGGCCCTTGGCACAAGGATCGATAGGCTTCATAAGGGATGCGCATGGCAGTTGCAGGCTTCAAACATCCTGAACTCCTCAGTAAGTCGTGGTCCTAGTCCAAGTTTCAAGGAACGGATCATGTGGGTTGGTCTGAAAGTGACCGGCTCCCTTGGAACAGCTGATCTTTCCTGTCAACCACTTTAGAAGTTTTCGCAGTGCCCTAGGGCAACTGTTAATTTTCTGTGCTTCAGGAATCCCGTATCAGATGAATGCGTACTCTTTGGGACCCCTGACTTACGAGCGGAACATCTAAACCGTGCCTAGCAGTCCTCCTAAAATATACCTGGAGTCCGGGAACATCCGGAAACCCTAGCTCCTGAATGGTGAGAACCCAACAATCCTTTGCAGGCAAATCCTGTTCACCTCGATGCAGGACTGTAGTGTCTTCAAGCCTACTTCGGCACCTTGAGGTTGACCAAACACATATGTACCTTCAATTGATGATGGTTTGCTTGATGACTAGGCTTCATGGCGGGCCCATCATTTCGAGCGATATCCGTAGTGGCATATGACGCAGTTGCACAATGTCTGCGTGTCGGACTCCTGTATGCACCTTCGAATTGCTTACGTTTTGAAAGCAGGTCAGCCATGTTCCTACTTTTTGTGAAGCCTGCACTTGTCGACATGGAGTTGACATACTTTGTGTCCGAACCGGAGCTACGAGCCCAAGAACAAACTGCACAGGATTGGCGATGTCACCCGACCAAGTTGTCAGATATAGAGTGCCGGACCCAGGTGACTCTGTCAAAGTGAACAGACGGCATCATCATCATCATCATCATGATCATCTTCACGATTATTTCCATCATCGTGATCATGATCGGCAGCAGAGATGCGGCACATTATGGCACACTGTTAAACGTTCTGGTAGGTATGTCTAACCTCTGCCGGCCCAGGATATATCTGAACGAGCAAATTCTGGAGTTGAACACGAGTCGGAGCCCCAATCTTGCCTTCGCTCCGACAGCAGTCCCCGGACAGCGTGTCCACAACAGAATGATCGGGCGTTCTGTGTCCAAGGTTATGTAATTCATGGAACTGCCTTGCGATCACTCGTTTGAGATGAGCACAGTATTGGAATGAAGAAAATCTGGCCCCAGGCTCGCTGACATAGAGAGAGAGAGAGAACTGGACAGGCTCGGGTGCGTGTGGTGCGGGGCTGGGCCCCGGGAGAATCGTAGGGCTTGGGGAGTACCCCGGGAGGGCAGTAGTGCCCTCTAGAGCCCGCAAAGAAAGAAAAATACTGCCGCCACTGACCGGACCTTCGACCTTTTCTGGAAGCCCCAGCTTCACCCATCGCTCCGACCTGCGGTCGGTGGTGACTGGCTCCATTCATCACGTTCTCTCTTCCTCCAGTAACTTCACTTAAAAGCTAAAGCTCGTAGTCAAGCTGGCGTCAGTTGCTACTGGCCTCACATGCCTCGCTTGAAGCCGTGGTGCTTGTTGGCAAAGGGTTGTTCCCAAGCGGGCCTGCACTGAGCTCAAAGCTGCTTGTGCGGCTGACAAGGGCCCTCTCCAATTTTGAGACAACAAGATCTCCTGTGGTGATCCAATCGTGCTTTCCTCCGGGGCAATGCCTAGAAAAAACTGGCTCAGCTCTTTTTGCCAAACTCTGAGCAACCGTACGAGGTGGCAGAGAGCTGACGCTCCAGGCGCGGGCCACAGGAATCAAGGCATGAGTATGGAGAGTGTGGCGCTTATGCCGCAGTTAGAGGCCAGCTACGGCTACTACTCTGCTTCAGCACCTCATTCTATCTGCGACTATTGAGAGTGTTGTACAACATTTGACTGCTCGGATCGCCGCCATGGTGCTCACAAGGAAGTTCGCTGCTGCTGCTGCTGCGGCTGCTGTTCTTGCTGCTATTATTACTGCTGCTTCTTCGAATGCCGCTAACGTACTGCTAGTCTGACGATGTTGCATCCAATTGAAGCTGCTGCCGCCCCTTTCAGTAGAAGCGGTAGCAGCAGCAACGGCATGAGCTTCCAAAACTCTGTGGAGAGGATTAGGCTACTCTGGGGTATGCAAGAGCCCCTATTGTTTGCAATGTGTCTGAGACGTATTCCCGCAAGGATCCCCAGGGGCGAGAGCTTTGGAGGTTGCCGGCTGAGGGCCAGGCTCAGGGGATAGTCTGGCTTGTTGCTTAGAAAGTTTGCTTAGACTAAGTTGCCATAATGTTGATACATCGTACATTCAGTGAATGACTGGGTGTTCTCATCATGGTACGTAGCTTAATTCTTTACATTTGTGATGCCGGGGGTTCAGCTGGAAACTACTAGAGCAAGTAGCGCGATGGAGAGTGGTAGGAATAGCAGTGATGCTGGTAGCTACCGAAGGAACAGAACAGGAGTGATGATTAAGAATAGTGGAGGGACACTTGCCCGGATGCCCAGCGACATTTCACCTCCGGCGGTTTCGTGATCATGCCGAGTCCTCCCGTCTCCTGGTGCAGGTGACGCTGGATCCAATGATACCCTTCAAGGCAATGATCCACCTCAGTCTACTCCTCAGCATACTCGTAGCCACAGCAAGAATCGTGATGCGAATCATTGGCTGAATAGGAGCAGTTCTGATCCTTGATCAGAACCCCAGACGTAGCAAATGCCCATGATGATTTCAAAGCTGC